GTGAAGCATTTTGAATGAGATCTCTTTGACTTTGTTGGTTAAAAAAACTTGTGTGGCAAAAGCCAAACTTTTTCCCAACAAATCTCTCCAACAAATGAAGACCAATATGATACAGCAGCGGGTGTACTCTAATGTCCTGTTGAAAAGGTTGACAAATGGCCTTATTCCTACTCTTAGGTTGCAGTGAAAAACAGATATTCCCAACAGTTGTTTCTTTTACATCCACCAGTGTTGGGGGATCATCAGATCCATTAAAACCTTTGAAAAGTGAGATGACAGCTGAAGATATCGAAGACAATGGAGAAGTCCTTTGGTGAAACAGGGATACCATGGTGATACCATGTAGTTATAAAGTTGACTACGTTGGTTAAATTATGATTTACAAGTAAAATATTATTGTCATACCACTGTCGAAAAAAAATTGATTTGTTTTTATACAAATATATCTGTTGTTCCAGATATAAAACCTATGAGGAGTGAAGTTGTGCTTGTAAATTAGGGACCAAACCAGTAGCATTTGTTTGTGAAACAAAGAAAGTTTCAGAGGAATTTTTTCAATATTATAAGTGCACAGCAACAAGAACTGGAGACCACCAACTGAAGAAAAGACATAATGTGGAATAAAATTCCACATACTGGTTGGGCAATTTAAATACCGCTTAATCAAATTAATCTTGAAAGTGAAATTTAAGGTAGTAAAGTCGAGAACACTAAGGCCACCTTTACTGTACTCATTCAAAAAAAGACTTTTTCAGATAATGATTGCAATTTTTCCATACAAAATCATAAAGGATTTTATCAATGGTTTTGCACATTTGTTGATCTATATATAAAGATAGGGCAGCGTATGTTACTCTTGAAATTCCTTCGGCCTTTGAGAGTAAAATCCTGCCTTTCAAAGACAGATAGTTATGATTCCGTCTGTGTGTCTTGTTTGGGAGTCTGAGTTTAGTTCCATGTCCTTAGTTCATGTTTTGGTAATGATTCCTGGTCCTTGTTTGTATTGTTGTGATTTGGTCTCCTCTGTACTCTGTGTTCTAGTTCTGTGTTCTCGTTTAGGTTCTGGTTCTTTGTAACTTGTGTGTGTTTCTGTCTTCGTGGTTATTCACTCTGCCCCATGTCTGCTTGTCTAGTGTTCTCTCTGTTTCCCCCTGCTGTCTCTCTGCCTCGTTAGTCCTGATCCCGCTCACCTGTGTTGCTCCCGCCCCGCTTGTTAGTCCCTGTGTATATGTATGCCTGCTTGTCTCTCCAGTCTTTGTCACGTCCTTGCGTCTAAAGTTGAGTGTTCCTGCTTGTTCCCTGTCTTCGTAGTTCTGGATTATTCCCTGTGTTTGGATCGCCTTGTGTTCTGGACTACCTTGTTGGACTTTGCCTCGAGCTCCTTGTAAGCCTGTTTAAGTTAGTTTTTGAGTTAATTAACATTTTTGGTCGCCTTGCCATTGTCTGCATTTGGGTCCTCGCCCCAGTCTGCACTCAGCACCCAACCCGTGACACAGATCACGTAATAGCCACATGTTAAATTTCTTCATTTTTTTCGACAATGGGAGTGAGGTTATTCTTGCATCTTTGGGGTTCATTTTTATCAAATACAATACCTAAGTAAGTAATAGAGCTTTTCACAGGAATATTAGCAATTAAGTCAACATCACAATCTTTAAGAGCCAGTAATTCACATTTGTAAGGTTTAATCGTAGACCAGAGGCTTTACTGAAGACTTCTATTATGTCAATAGCAAGAGGAACCTGGGAGCTATCTTTAAAAACAGTGTTGTGTCATCTGCCAGCTGACTAATAATGACTGTTTTTCAGCAATGGAAATGACCTGCAAATTACTATTTTTAATGTATTCACATAAAAGTTGGGCTGCAAGTAAAAAAAGAGAGGGAGAAATATGGCATCCCTGTCGAATTCCACGTCTGATTTCAAATCTGGGTGAGGACCCATTTTTAAGTTTAATTTAACCATTTGCATTACTATACAGTCCTGACTGCATCACAAAAGAAATCCCCAAAGCCAAACTTCTTGAGTGAATGATAAAGAAAATTATGTTCGACAGTATCAAAAGAAAAAAAGAAGCTGTCATCTGAAATTAAATGTGAATAGTCAACTAAATCTAAGAATAATAAATGCTAAATGTCTTACGGCGGAGTCTCTATTGTTATCACTGGCGGCCATCTTGTCACAGGCAAGCTTCCTGGCGTTCTCTGTGGTACCTAATGTAAGATGAGTGATCAGCACGAACCCAAATACTCTTCTCGTTGAAATCATGACAGATTTACAAACGGTTTGGTTTCTTACAAACGTTATTAACGTGGCTATAATTCTGGAGGCTTGAACATGTTGAAATTGCAGATTTTCTTTTTGAGAAACGACTTAATCGTACAGCATAGTTGTGTATCACGGCGACTTGCGCAAGTTATCAAGGCTGAGACACAATCGAGCTGTTCAATTATATAGGTTTTACTGACACCAATAACGATTTGAAATTCGAAATGCACACACATGTATATATTTAAGAAAAATGTGTATTTTTATATAAAATATACATACAGACCAGGTCTGGCATATACATATACAAGTCTATATACAGTATATACATGCAAATATTAAATACTTAACTTAAATACACATGCATGTGTGTGTGTATTTATATATAAACATAATTATTATTAATACACTGTACACACATATTATGTAAACAAACTTTTATTTTGGATGTGATTAATCGTTGGCAGCCTATATATAATTATGGTGCCATTTGTACACTGAGTTTTAGTAGCCTATATATTGATTTACCATAAATACCTTGTGCGTGTATATCATTGCACCTATCTGTTCTGTTCAATGTTATTTCATATGAAAGTCCGTTATAATTATTTATAAGTGTCATAACGACATCTCTGACGTTTATAAAAACCAAACCGTTTGAAAATCGGTATAAAATTGAGGAAGTTATGATTATTTAACAAGTACATGCACCAAAACACAATGTTACCAGTGAGTGTGACAAGATGGCCGCCAGGTGCAGACGTCGACCTCCATTGGCCAGCAGCGCGACGAGACATCTAGCCTTTATTATGGATATCTATGGGCGGTACGGATTGGGCACTGACAGTTCCTCTCTCTGCCTCTCTGTGACTTCCTTTTCTGATTATCTGATCAGCTGAGTTTACTGATCAGGTCAGCAGCTGACAGTGATTGTGGAGAGCGCCCTCTG